AAGTCTTGAGATTATGTAACTTGCAAAAAAGGCACATGTGGCAAAAAGCCCAATGATTTTGCCATGCCATTGCTACACCGAAGGACAAGATCTATTAGTCTTGTTGGTTTTTAGTTGTTTAGTTCCAACATCTGACACTAAATTCTACCTGAGGTATACATCTGTTACATTCAGGTCAAATCCAAGGTGTTTACTCAATCAGCTGGCTGAACAAGTGGCGTTTAAGAAAAAAGCAAATATAACTAAATCAACAAAGCAGCTGGGAATGAACAATACATGTACAGCAAACGTCCTAGCCAGATTTATATTTTACGGGGCATAAATCAAATTTTAATAACACAATAGTGAGATTATCGCAAACAGTTCATAAAAAAGTCATGTACAGCCGTTACATCACATTCATTCATATAACTGCCAATATGTCATGTCATTTCACTTTATAATTTGGACACATTATGTACATTATTGTCAGAACTGCCCACAATGTTTTCTTTGAACCTTTCCAGAGTTAAAACTTGTGCAACCATCTCAGCCTTCTCTTACCCAACAACAACTCCAGACTGCAATTTGCCCACAAAAAAACAAAACAACTCCTTACATTTCTACAAGACAGTCCGTGCATGCCACCCTACAACCATGTGCACAAAGCCATTTTTTATTTCCACTTGCCCATAAGAGACACGGGACATCCTAAAACATTTATTGTGAAAATGGCTTAATGTAGCTTAATGTACCATAATGTGCCTAAACCTCAATCAATTGCCTTGAAAAATTGCACAACCCAAGTTCTCAGCTACCCAAACCTATCCTGGAAGTTTCATGGATTTTGGTTTCCCACAAGGCAAATAAGCTCCCCAAAAAAAAAAATCTTAATGTCACTCATTTGACTTGTGGAAAAGCAAAATCCATGAAACTTCCAAGATAGGTTTGGGAAGCTGAGCACTTGGGTTGTGCAAAGTTTCAAGGCAATTGATTGAGGTTTAGGGACATTATGGTACATTAAGCTCTTTTTACATTAAGCTAAATGTTTTAGAAAAGGAATAAAATAATTTAATGTGAATAACCTTTGGTATGTTTTATCAAATGACCCAAAATCTTTACAATATGTTGGTACAGAGAGCGTCTTGTATTGTGGGAAGTTTGGGGGAAATCGATTAACATCTAAGTTGTTTTTTGTACATTAAAGGAGAACTATGAGGTGAGTGCTTTTCACTCCCCTCATAGTTCTAGCCGACCTGTGACAATGAGACTGTCACAGGTCGGCTAGAACTATGAGGTGAGTGCTTTTCACTCCCCTCATAGTTCTAGCCGACCTGTGACAATGAGACTGTCACAGGTCGGCTAGAACTATGAGGTGAGTGCTTTTCACTCCCCTCATAGTTCTAGCCGACCTGTGACAATGAGACTGTCACAGGTCGGCTAGAACTATGAGGTGAGTGCTTTTCACTCCCCTCATAGTTCTAGCCGACCTGTGACAATGAGACTGTCACAGGTCGGCTAGAACTATGAGGTGAGTGCTTTTCACTCCCCTCATAGTTCTAGCCGACCTGTGACAATGAGACTGTCACAGGTCGGCTAGAACTATGAGGGGAGTGAAAAGCACTCACCTCATAGTTCTCCTTTAAGCCACATTATGCTCCCCAAAAGAAAAGCTTAATGTCACTCATGTTTTTTCTAGTTTGACTATTTTTGGTTGAGAGGACGCACTGGGGTCCCAGCATGCTTTTTTGGTTGCTGGGCCTCCAGTGCGTCCCTGCACCTTATTAGGAGGAGTTGGCTACCTCCTGGTACACCTGCATGCAATTTATCGACTGCATTAATATGCTCACACTTGGAGACTCACATACATAGAGTTAGGACCACACCTTACAGAGGTGCCTTGGCGCGGCGGTGTGGCTTCTACATATTTTTGGCCAAAAGTTTGTGCAACTAAAACCTCTGATTTTAACACATACTGTTGACAGGGCAATTTGTTTGGTTGCAGGCTAGCTGGCAGGTGAGCTGGGGATTTTCTGTGTTTTGTATTAATGTCACTCATTTGCCTTGTGTGTAACCAATATCCATGAAACTTCAGGATAGGTTTGGGAAGCTGATAAATTGGGTTCTGCAAAGTTTCAAGGCATTTGATTGAGGTTTAGATACTTTTTTACACATTAAGCTCTTTTTACATTAAGCTGTTCACATTAAATGTTTTAGGATTGTAATAAAATAGTTTAATGTGAATAGCTTTTGGCATGTTTTATCAAATTATCCAAAATCTTCAGCATATATTGGCATAGAGTCTTGCATTGTGGGAAGATTGGGAGAAATCAGTTAACATCTAAGTTGTTTTTTGTACATTAAGCCACATTAAGCTCCCCACTATAATTATTAAAACTAAGAGATAATTTGAAACTAATGTTTATGAATGTTTGTCTAAATGTACTTTTATGGAAACAAAACAATAAAAATATATTAAACAAAAAAAAAATGCTTTACAACTAGCTAGCATTCTGAAGACAAGTGGAACAACTGCTTGCAATAAAACAAAGTCAAGCTAATATATTCTTTTCTTTTATCAAAACATACACATTTTTTGTATAGATTTTGGTAAACTTACACCATAAATATATTCCACCTATTTCAGTACAGACACATTCTAAGATCGTATTTCTCAAATGGCCTTGAAAAAACTTTTAGGTGACATTTTTACGTTTTTAGGTGACATTGTCATATTTTGATGAATAAATAGCATATACAGCTTTCTAAATATTTGCTCTTGATGTCATTCGTATATCAGGGAACATGATAAGCTTTTTACAATGGCCTTTCTTTTCATTCAGACCTACATGATCCATAGACTTGCAGTGAGACCAAAGAGCAGTGATACACAGATACTATGCAGTAGGGATGCACCGATACAGATACTGTATCTAAAGTCCGATACCAGCCCTTTAAATTTTTTAACAAGTTTGGCTGCCTATTTGTTCCAAACTCCTCTAATATTTGTCTCTTTCACTTCATCCCAAGCATTAACAATATTTTTGATGCCATGATAAATGTTATAATTTTTCCAGAAATCCCTTAAGGTCATCTCATCCTTTTCAGTAGCCCTGACAGCTTGTGAGAATGTCCTCCGTAAATAATAGGCCTTAAAGGAGGCTATGACTCCCTTATCCATTGGCTGAAGTAGTGATGTGGTGTTGGGGGGTAGAATACCACCTTTACATTGGGGTGCATGTCATCTAAAGTGTTTGGATGTCCAGGGGCATTGTCAAGGAGAAGAGAATTTTGAAAGGAATGTTTTTGCCCAAGCAATATGTTCAACAGCAGGAACAAAATGGTAAAAAAATCCTTCCTGAAAGACCCAACTGTAACCCACGCCTTTGAGATTGCCCTCCAAATAACAGGAAGAAATGACTTAGTGACATTACGTAGTGCCCTTGGATTCAGGGAGTGATGCACTAGCATAGGCTTGAGCTTTAAATCCCCAGACGTATTACCCCCAAGTAATAAAGTCAGCCTGCTCTTTGATACCTTATGTCCTGGTGCACTCTTCCTCTTTGGAAATGTAGGTCCTCTCCTTTTTTCCCCCAAAACAAACTAATTAAAGATTTGGTCTGGCAAATAACCTAAATCGTCAACAATATCTTCCAATATCTTGGGAAAATCACCTGCAGCACTTACATCGGCACTCCCTGCTTCACCTTGAACTTTAATATTATGCAAATTTGCTCTTTTTTTAAAGCGATTGAACAAACCCCTACTTGCAACAAATTCTTCATGCAATCTACTTCAATTGCTGTATGATCAGCTTTTAAATAATTGAAAACGCTTTGAGCCTTTTCTTGCACTAAAGAAAGACTGTTGCATATTACACTGATTTTGGTCTTCTATCCAAATTGTCAACAGCCATTCCATCTCAATAATTAAACCACTGCGTTGCTTGGTAATAATCATAGCATTCACTGGGGTATGTTCTTTCATATGCTCCATTATTCAAATTTTATCTTTAAAAATTGTTGCGATTGTTGACTGACTGTAACCAAATGCTCTGCCAATGGATGATGGAGTTTCACCCCTCTCTGATCTTTGTATTATTTCTACTTTATCTTCCATGGTGGTGGTTATTCTTTTCTTTGCTGTTTCACCAGCATTTGTATCAGATTTGTGTTTAGGCATTGTTACAGGGTGAAGACAAAAAAAAGTGTTCAGTACACTGTACATACAAGGTTACGACAGTCAGAGCCAACTTCCTGTTCAGTACCAGACCCGGAAAAGAGGCGGGGTACTCACCAACAACTTTCTGATTTGTGCAGGAAGTACAGTACTGTACAGTACTACAAACCACACGCACTCCTCGTCTGCAGTACTACGATCGTCAGCATGAGCACCATTAGTAGTGGAACGCTGTGCGATACAGTTTTGCTGCAGCCTTGGACCTCAGTTCATAAGTACGAGTTGTACGCAAGTCTACATACGCTTCAATCCCATGTGGATGGTGATAACTAATTACTTTCCCAACACCTGGACAATCATCAGGAGTGCACATTTGGCCAAACTGTCTTTCATCTATTTTTTTGCTTTGTTTTGTCTTTTATGTGGGGGGTTTCTATGGATTGATATCTTTTTAAGAATTTTATATTTGCATATATATGTGTTTGGGTTTTTTGGGTAGTTTATTAAAACATTTATACTTTTTAATGAAAATACAAAGGTTATGGTTCTTTTTGACTATTGATCAAACAAGTATGCGTTCTATCTGGACTCTTCAATTATGTTGATATAGTGGGAACCAATTGGTCTTTGATAGTTTATCCATCATCAGTTGACAATTGGTAAATATGTAAAAGTTCCCTGGGCATGACAGGGTAAAATATATCTTTTTATGTAAAGACAAAACAAAGTAGTAACTATTTGCTGAACAAATGTATTAGGGCAACAACTACATTTATAGGATTTGCCAGACTCTGCATGACACAATGTTATAAAATATCACCTTTATACTATTATATATTTACCTGGGCATATGCATCACGATTAGCTTGTAGGCTGACCTTTACAACCTCAAAAGGATTCACAACTATGGCTTCAGTTAATCCTGATCCAAGGCCGGCTATAGCAAACACCTACAATGCATGGACAAAGAAAGGCATTGGAAATAAATGCAATTAAAATGACAATTCAGTTTTTAGGGTTAATATGTGTTGATTGTTCACAATAGAAAATATAAACCGTTAGAACAGAAGTTACAAAAAGGGATGATTCAGATTTTTAACGTGGCTCAATAAATGGACCAAAGGTTGCACCATCAGATATGTAAGCTTCTTTATTGAAAACAATGACAAGACAGCAAAAGACTTCTAAACACCTTGACATGCTTCAAGGTCCTTATGAGCAAGGCCCTTATGAGCAAACACTATTGTGCGAAACGCATCCAGGCCTTTTGAAGTCTTTTGCTGTTGCTTGAAGAAGCTTGCCGATTCCTGGATTTGGCTGCATCAGATTTCTCTTTTTCTCTTTTTATGTGAAAGCTGCGTTGCAGGTGAGCAAGGAATGAGATCTCTGGCCAATCTGGGAAGGATTTGTGTTGAGTTCTCCATGTGGCAGCAGTTTTACTTCAGAATTCCATGTATTATTAGCTTTGCTGGAATATTTATTTTTCTGAATTGCCAAAATCTACAAGAAAACTTATTACTAGAAAAAAAATATTGCACCACCGTGTGAGGTTATACTACACAGACATGGCATGATTTGATGAGACAAACATGACTTACCCAGGCGGAAGGAAGGGAGAGTGGTAATAGCAGCTTTTTGTATTGCTCAAAGGTGAAGAACTGAAACAGAGAAAATCAGTGCTCAAAACTACTAACAGGAGTTTCATCAGATATTGGCATTGTGCTGTTGCAACAGTTTTATGAAAATATGACACAATGCATAGCCATGGTTAATATTTATATTGATGTGAAGTGAGAATTTATTTAGTTAATTTCCCTAAGCTTTGTTACCAGTATAACTGGATAATATACTGCCATCTTGCGGGCATTTTGGTTATTGGACCATCTTTTAATATGCTCCCTCCCCTTTTGTGTGACGCACTTCCCTTCTGCTCACATTGTCTTCATGGCATCAAAATGGCTGCTTGTCTCATGGCCACGTGTTAATCTGATCGCATGGGGGGGAAACATTACCATGTTTTGACCTGCAAATACCAATCATCTGCTGTATCCTGCTGTCTGCTTTAACCTGCTGCATTCGATAAAGATCTTTGTGAATGAAAAGTTATTTGGTGAGTTCAGCTATCTGATAAAGACTACCCACAGTGATTGTATCTGCTTATGCAGGCCAAGCATAGAGGTCTCAGCAAGGGGTAAAATCCCTCATACAACAGTTGGAGATAGAATAGGCATACTGACATATGGTTAATTACCCATTCTGAGTCGAGAATTATATCTAAACTTATATTATTTCAAGAATAATACTTAAAGTGGACCTGTGCCCAAATCATGCACACTAAAGTATTTATATATTATATACAAGCAGTAAAAGAACTTTAAAACAAGCCCTTATTCACCTCTGTGCCTGTAAGCATTATGAAGAAATTAATTTTCAAATTTCACAAAACAGGCAATGAAATCTTAGCTCCTTCCTTATTACTTTCTGTTGATCCAGGATTTTGGCAGGTGGCCAGCCCTCTAATGTAAACAACCAGTAGGTATGAGAAAAGAATAACTTCATATTAAAAGCAGCTAGCACTTAGTACAGTATACATACTGTATATATTTTCCAACTTGAGAAAGAGGGACATGTAGTTGACATATGGTGTGCATAAATGGTGTGGCTAGTCTGGGGAATGGTGATGGCTACATTACACTAAATATGGGGAATTGCTTAAAGAGGCACAGCTAAATAGGCATAGCTAAAAATTCCCTGACTGCAGTGGGAGCCTCGGGGATTAGTGAGAGGAAAAAAATGACCTAGCATTAGTGGTCAATGGGAGGAAATATGTCCCAGCAGTGGTGGTTAGTGGGAGGAATATGTATCAGCATTGTTAGTTGGCCCTGCAAATTCAAGAACCTTTGGACAGCTTGGCTGCGCAACTACCCATTCACTTTTATGGTGGACAGCTTGGCCAGGTGGCCACTTATTTCTTTTTGTGGTGCACAGCTTGGCTGCGTCACCCATTCACTTTTATTGTGAGACATGTCCTGGACAGTGGGGTATTTTTTAATTACTGGGGCAGTTCAGTGGGATCAGTAGGAGTGTCATGTGCATGGGGGTAAATAATCATGAGCCTGGACTAGCAAACACTGGTGAACTTTGCCAGCGGCCAAATAGATATAAAGATAGATAGATAGATAGATAGATAGATAGATAGATAGATAGATAGATAGATAGATAGATAGATAGATAGATAGACATTCAAGGATAGTGAGACAGGAAAATTATATTTTACTGGAGGAAGGTATCCATCTACTTAGGTCTTTTGATCAAAATAGCCACAATGTACTTCATGAGCAAGAACCTATTCTGTCCTCAGTTACCAGTAGGGAATGCTGATGACAATTTCAAAACAACATATATTTAAAGCCAGATGTTTAATTTCCCAAACAAAGTTTAATCAGCCTCAGCAAATGTGATGACAACCACATGATATGGATCTTTTTGAACAAAGTGGTGACCAGTCTTAAGGAGTAGTGATGGGCTGGACAGGCCCGAGTTCGGTTCACATTCGAACATTCGAACGTCTGAAAAGTTTGAATTCAAAATCAATGCATGAAAATGGGGGTATAACTTTCAGAAACGATTGTCCCCTTTAAGAGGAGTTATATGCAAAATTATTGGCCCTAAAAAAGGCGTGGGGGTCCGGGGACTGCACTAGGGGACAGGAATCAATGAACAACAAAACAAAAACCGTTTTTAACCACATGCTGACCAGGGTGTTTACACCCCCTTCCTGTCCAGGCCATTTTTCAGTATTCAGCGCTGCGGTACTTTGACTGACAATTATTCTGTCATGCAACGCTGTACTGAAATGTATTTTGTACCATTTTTTGGGGACAGATAGAGCTTTCTTTTTGTGATATTTAATCACCACTGCTGTTTTTATTTTTTACTATATAATGAAAAAAGTACTGAAAAATAAATGTTTTCCCTACCTTATGTTATAAAACAATTATTATTATCCAAATTTTTGGCAAAATATAAAAGACGGGGTCACGTCGGGTAAATAGACACCAAACATGTAAAGCTTTAAAATTGTGTGCGCCCGCGAACTCACAAAAACTACCATACCCAAAATTGGCCATAGGCAACTCCTTAAAAGCTTTTACCGCTCATCAGTTTAGTGTTCGCCGCGACATGCAACATGTGCGGCGCAATGGATGCAATCGTCGTTTCCGCACATAGGCGCACTCAACGCATGTTTGAATGTGTATGTGGGGGGCTAGGGACTTAAAAAAATGTTTTACATTTTTTTTATTACCGCTTGTATGTTTACATTCCAGGGCGGTTTTCCCGCTTGTTAGCGCCGCCTAGCGGCAGGCACGAGCAGGGTGGGATGGGACGTTTAAAAACGCCCCCCACCCACATTCAAGAAGCCGCTGTCCGGCCGGCAGGTGGTTAAAGGAGCAGTGCTTTTTCGCTGAATACTGAAAAATGGCCTGGATGGGAAGGGGGTTTAACACCGTGGATGTCAACTGGTTAAAGGGTAAATTCCTTCAAATATCGTGCCTGTGGAGTCCCCATAAACTGCCTGTGAAGTGACACATCTGTACGATGTATAGAATTCTGACATAGACCGCTGTATACAACTCTGATATAGAACGCTGTATACAACTCTGATATAGAACGGATAGAACGGAAGATGCTTTTCCAGGGTGCCGATGTGGACAAGTAGCCTCTTCCCCACAATCCCTGGGGCATTGGTTGTGGGGGTGCGAGCAGGGGGGCTTAGTCACAGCGGGGTACCCCTTTAATAAAAGGGCACTCATATGCAGCCCCCCCTTGTGAATGAGTAAGGGGTACCCGTCCACTCGCAACGAACTGCTGCCGCAGAATGGCATTCTGAAAGATGCCGTCATCTGTCATCGTCACTGCTATCTTCGGTGCTAGCAGTGACATCACCGCTAGCTCCGCCTAACTTTTTACATTTGTCCGGCAACTGACAGGACTTATATCTGAGCCATGATTGGGCAAAGTCATTATTATTTGCCAAATCATGACTCTTAGAGTGCACTTTGCAGAACCTAATCAGCGCTTTCCAAGTCACTGTGTGGTTTGCAACTACCGATATTCGAGTCAAACTGTTGTTGGACTTGAACATCGAGACCATCCCTAGTGCTGAGTGCATGCCTCCATCTGATGAACAGAATGAAAACTACACTTTATCACTTTGCAGAGCCCTTTATGCAACATGCCCAACATAAGTGATCTTACCCACAACATCTATTTCTAAAAGTCAGAATTAGGTAACCCAAAAAGTACCTGCATTTCAAACATCTTTCCTCTACAAATTTGATGGCAGTCCTAAAATAGATTAGATTAAATACATTTCTTACACATCTCTGGGGAACATGTATTCTATCTTCAAGCTTTGCACTTAAAAGACTGTTGTCCAACATGGGTGATATTACCAGTACGACTTGTTAGTATAAAGTTCGAATTAGGTAAGCCAAGAAGTACCTGTATTTGAAACATCTTTCCTCTACAAATTTGATGGCAATCCTAAAATAGATTGGGTATATTTCTTACAAATCTCTGGGGAAATTTTGTTCTATCTTCAAACTTTGCTCCTAAAAGGTTGTTTTGCTTTTGTATAAGTATGTGCGATGAATGATATGTGGTCACGTGGGTAAGCGAGTGCTGAAATACTTATACAAGAGAAAATTCTATAGACGTCAGTATGTAAACATTGCACTCAAGCCCCATGTAGTACTTTTGAGAGTTACTCTCAAAAAGAAGCAATGCAGAGGTCACTCTCCTGCCTAACAACCAAGCAGCAAAGGGGGCCTCCAAGTTAGTACTAACTGGTTGCAATCAGACTAACAGGCTTACACCACACACCCTAAACACAGTTCTGACTCCATGTGATGTTCTGTTGTAATGTTTTCTGTAATTAACATCTGGAGAGATTCAGGACACAGGATACATGGAAAATCTTTAGCTGAACTGTGCTTGCAGCCAATCAGCTGCAAACATCGCTCGGTATTCGGACAGTGGCCGGGGGATGCTGTCAGAATACAATGGAAACAGCAAAGGATTCCTCTGTCCACGCTACTTGATGAAGGAATCTGTGATGTTTCAGTACAGTGTATGGCTAGGTTTAGACTTTAAAAAGCTCCTGTCGAAATCATCCCTAGTATGTATGTGTTTATGAGGTAGGGACCTTAAATTGTAAGCTACACAATTTTTTTCTGATCATACTGCACCAGAACTGAGGGCATTCCTGTACCTTGCGTTCCGGTGCGGGCAATCGCACTGTGGCTGGGGGCGTGTCTGCGATGCCATTGACAGGAATAGCACCAAAACGCCCCTTCCCGCACCAGAACGCTGCCCAGCTTGATCTATGCGATCCAGTGCGTTATGGGCTCAACAGGCAGGATGAACATAATGTTCCCTGGGACAAGAAAAAAGGACCAGGAGAACATGTCACCAGGTGTTAAAAATACCCTGCTATGCTTAATAAGAGTGATCAGCTCTCCTATACACAAGGAGGTTTGGGGTGCTATGCTTTCACCCTACAGATGTTCAACCACTCAAGGACCAAGAAAGCTGTTCACGTGTGGGCTACTGAGTCCTTATTAAAGAGGAGAACAGATTAGTCAGTATGGAAACC